CCCCGCGCCCCCCCCGGCCCTCCCCCCCCGCCTGCCCTCAGCTCCCGCCTGGCCCCATCCCCGCCTGCCCTCGGCTCCCGCCTGCCCTCAGCCCCTGCCCGTCTTCATCCCCCACCTGCCCTCATCCCCCGCCTGCCCTCAGCCCCGGCGTGTCCCCAACCCTTACCTGTCCCCAACCGCGTCTATCCCAGCCCCACCTGTCCCCAGCCCCTGCCTGTCCCCAATTCTTCTCCCTTTCACAGTTCAGGCAATTATAGTTAAGACTTGGTCCCAGGAAAGTAGTTACTGGGTGATAATAAACAATATGGAAGGAAGTATAAATAAATGTCCTGTCCTGTCCTGTGTGGGAGAATTGCAGAAGGCCAGACATACTCCAGAACTGCGAGTGTCCCCCTCCACTGTCCGAGCAGAATGCAGCAGGACCTGTGTGCCCCCAGCAGCGTGGCTTCCTCAGCACAATGCCCTTAGGATGGGTCCTTGCAGAGAAGTGGGTGCACTTGGGTGGATTTGAGCAATCTCCTGGGTTTGTGGCTGTGCTTGGTGTGCAAAACCCTTCCCAGGGTGATAGAGCACTGCTTATAGTTTAGTCTGTTGTCTCTTCTCATGTAGTCTTGTCTGTGTGGACAAGAATGTGGCTTCTCCCAAACTCTACGTCCTGGAGCCATGGATTGCTGACCTCTTGGTGAATTACGAGCAACTGGAGGAGCGTGAGAATTTCCTGGCTGGACAGGTGGTGCGGGTAGGTACCCACAGGGACTGTCCCAAAGCACTCCAACCTTTAAAATCTAAGTTCTGGGAAGTGCACAGTGGTTCCCAGCTTGGAGGCTGTGCATGTGCAACTCTTCCTTCTCAGCGTCTCTGATTTAAATTTGTTTTGAGGAGGAAAAGCTTGGTGTCATGACTGCCTTCCTGTGAAACTTGTTCCAGGTCTACAAATAAGAGGTTTTTTTCCCCTCTCCAATCTCTTGACAGGTCTTAAGTGATTCAACTGCTCCTGGCCAGCCTGGCCTCCAGGAAGCTGTGGTGCAGGTCTCTGATGGATCCTGCTACATCCGTGTGGTCATTACACCCGAAGCTCTGCAGGCAGAGGAAAAGTGGGTTCCACCGTGACTTGGCATGGCTGGGACAGCAGTTCTCCACAGCTGCTGTGAGGAGCTGGGGCTCCTGCCTGGTCTTGTTTCAGGTTGTGTTAAGCTAAAGCAACCTCAGGGTGGGAAGCTGGTGTGAAAGAGCTCCTAAGAGAAGAAAGCTGGCATGCCCTTGCTCTGGTGCCTGCTGGTTGGGATGGGCAGGGATCCATGGCAGAAGCTGTGATGCCATTAGAAAGGACTGTAAAGCTCTTGGGTTTTGTGGAAGGAGGCAGAGCATTAACCATGGTAGCCTGGGCTGCTCCTTCAGTGCTTTCTTCCATTTTCCCATTTGGACACCCTTAAACTGTTGGGGTGCTGATGGTAGAGCCAAGGACAAGCAGCAGGAAGAAGCTGCTCTTAGGCAGGAATTTCTAAGGAATATGGAGCCCTTGGTGCTTGCTGCTCATGCTGAGACATGTTCCAGAATGCCCTGGTGTGGTTGGCAGAGCACTTGTGGGAGCCCCACTGTGTGTTGGGGGAGGGATTCCAGCTCCATTCTTCAAGGCATTCCTGCTCTGCTCCTTTTCCAGCGCCCACCTGCAGCTCAGGCTTTCCAGCCTTAATTGCAGAATTATCGTCCTGCAGAAGTACACAGTGTGTTTTCAGGACGAGGCCAGGCTGGTAAGTGCTTTGAGGAGTGGAAGCAGCCTGTTCCTTTACCATGTTATGCTTCCTCCACTCTTGCCTGCTTCCAGCTGCTCCTGGCAGCTGAAGGCAGGTGATGGGTGGCCTTTTGTTTTCATCTGCAGCTCCTGTGGGGTCTGTGGCAGCTGACCTGGGCAGGGATGAGCCCTTGCTGGGGATGGGGTGCATCTTTCCCAGGGCCACCTGGCTGTCACCTCTGCCTGTTGGGCAGCTGCAGGAGGCCTGCATGAGCTGGTGGCAGAGTAGCCCACTGTCCCCTTGCAGAGTTTCAGAGGTGTCCCCACAGACTCCCCTGGGCTGGCCCACCCTGGCATGTGGCTCTTGCAGAGCCATCAGCTGAGGCAGGAAGATACAAACTCCCCTTTGAAGGAGGTTGTCCTTTTTGAGGGGACCTTCTCTTAGACTGGAGGGTTTGTGGCAGAGCTGGGGTGGGAGCGCTGGCTGGCCCCAGGGGAGGCAGAGGCAGAGGTGGGACTCAGAGGTGCTTTACAGGCTCTGTCCTCCCCACAGGAGGACTGCGAGTTTTACCTCACGGCCCAGCAGTTCATCGTGCTGCCCATGCAGAGGCAGAGGATGGAATCATCCGACGGGTATGGCCCATGGCATGAGTGGGTGGGGGCTGTGCTCAGGGGGACTTCCTCATCTTCCCCACAGTGGCTGACCCTGGGAGTCCTGATGTGACCTGCTTGTGGAAATTCCTTTTGAAAGAGGGATTGTCTCCAAGGCAAGGGAGATGGGGATTTGGAGGGAATCAGTAACTGGCTTCTCTCTTGCTGCAGGAACCAGGACCCCTCTGTGGTGAAGAAGATTAAGGAGCTCTGGCTGTAAGTATAGGGCTGAGGAATGTATGCAGACACCCTGATGAGAGTGTGCAACCTCAGACTGGGGTTAGAGCATGCTGGCAAGGGCTGGCACAGGTTATGGCACCTCCTGGTTAACCTGTGTGACTCCTTGCCCTGGAACGTGACAGAGATGAGTAGACCATGAAAAATGAAATTGTGGTGGCACAGTGCCAGCCTCTTCCTCTGAGCTAGGAGGAAACACCTGTGGGGAACTTGTTCCTGCCAGTGGTGGGCAGCACAGCTGCGTGGGTGAGCCCTGCACAGCTCATTCTTCATCCTTGGAGATCCAATACTGGAGATCCTCAGGGCCTTCCATCAGTCCATCTCCAGGGGTGAGGCTCCCTGATGGCTATTCCTGGCATACTGAGCATGTGGCCAGTGGCCAGATCAGCACCCAGTGGGAGAACCACTACTTGCACAAGCTGCTTCTTCCAATCCAGGGTGCTTGATCTGTAACCAAGAGCTGTGTGTGTCCCAGCCCTAACCTGGCTCTGTCTTCTCCTTGGTCATTACAGGAGGAATCTTGCTGTGAGGAATGCTCCCAGCTCAGGTAAAGGGTTGTGGGGGGTGTGCAATGCTCTGACTGGGTGGGGGGCCTGGGTTTCCTCAGTTTGGTCCATGTTAGGCAGAGGTAGCACAAACTTGGTCAGATCTCACAAGTGTATGTTGCTAAAAAGCAGGAAGAGATAATGCTGACAGCTAAAGCAGAGTGGGACATTGCACGCCTGTGCTCATGCTGCTGGTCCAGGATGTGTGAAGAAAGGAAAGATAGTTTCTAGAAGCAAAGGAAATGCAGAATTTTGGATGTTCCCACAGGTTTCAGTGTCATGACAGTCACCAAGTCATGCAGCAGGGTAAAGGTTTGCAAGTGAGGCTTGCCTGATTTCAGCTGTCTCCACTACTGATGTCTGTGTGTTGTTGCTCCAGAGCCCTCTGTCTCTCAGCTGATTGATGCCATAGGACAGAACCAGCTGGAGATTTTGAAGGAAAATGCCGAGGAATGCTTGGATTTATGGAAATCAAAGGACAAGCCAGTGACAGTGGAGGACGAGGTTCCTGTCACCCAGTGGGAGGCAGAGCGCAAGAAGGAGGTCAGTCTGCCTGCTAGGACCAGCTGAGACAGGGCTGTGACAGCTTAGGGTGCTCTGGTGGGTGGGGGAAGGAAGGGGAAGGACAGTGGGCAGAGCTGGAGGTTTGCTGGGGAGGGAGATGGTGTTGGGTTGGCACCCAACAAGTGGGTTCCTGCACCTGGAGAGGGACTGCCCAGCAAAACCCCTGTCACTTGTCTCATTTCAGCAGGGAGAGAATGTTTTCATGGTCCCAGTCAGCGCCCTGGTGATCCCTCCTGAGGAGGAGGCAGTTGTTTGTGATTCTTCTGAGGCAGCACCTGCAGGGTACACAGGTAGGCAGTGCAGCACCCAGGCATATGAAATGAGGGGCTCCCTAGGGTGGGGAGAAGAGTTCCTTTGCCCTGGGTGTGCCTCATGCTGGGGGTATGACCAACAGTGCCCCTTTCATTGCAGATACAAGCCAAGCAGCTCCTGGAAAGAGTAGTGATGATAGGACAATGCCAGGAGACCCAAGTGTTGTATCCCAGACCAGCTGTGAGTAGCAGGATCTCCAGATCCTAGAATGATTTCTGTTGGAAGGGACCTTAAAGACTATCTAGCCCAAATCCCTGCCATGAGCAGGGACACATTCCACTAGACCAGGTTGCTCCAAGCCCTGTCCAACTTAGCCTTGAACACTTCCAGGGCTGGGTCAGCCACAGCTTCACTGGGCAACCTGTGCCATGGCCTCCGCACCCTCACAGGAAGAATTTCTTACAAATATCTAATCTAACACTGCCCTCTGTCAGTGTGAAGCCACTTCCCTTTGTCCTGGCACTCCATGGCCTTGTCTAAAGTCCTTCTCCTGGACCTCTCTCCTGCCCTCTTGGAGCCTCTTCAGATACTGGAAGGTTCTCTAAGGTCTCCCTGGAGCTTTCTATTATCCAAGCTGAATAACCTCAACTCTCTCAGCTTGTCTCCATAGCAGAGGTGCTCCAGCCTTTGGATCGTCCTCATGGCCTCCTATGAACGCTCCAGATCCCATCCAGCCTTTAGTTTCCTCTACAGTTGACACATCCCATCTCCTTGGACTGAGTGGAGGAGGTACTGGTGTGGCCAGGTCTTTGGGAGACCTTGAGCAGACAGGGAATGGCCCAAATCCTCCAGGTTCTTGAAGCTGCAGCTTTGGTTGATCCTGGGAGCACAGGAAGGCATTTTGATGCCATCACTGAGCATGAGTCTCCTGCCCTGGTATGGGCTCCTCACTGGCTCTGGCTCAGCACCGGGATGGGTTTGTGTCACCTTACTTGGCTTGGTGTCACCAAGCTTTGCTGCAGAATTACCTGCAGAAGCTCCATGTAGAGGAGGAGCTGAAGGGAGGAATTGTCCTGAATAGTGCAGGGTGTAGGAGAAAGCCTTCTTCATACCTGCCTGCTCTCTGGGCAGTGTCTGCCTCTCCAATGCCTGCTGTGTGAGATCTTGGAAAGGGTATCACTGGAATACACCACATTTTGAGCTGGAAAGGGCTGCAGAGCTCCCCTCAAGAGCTGTCTCTGTCTGAGACCTTGTGCACAGGGCACCCACAGGGAATGGGCAGCTGCTTTCTTCGCCAAAATCAACCCTCCAGCTTCTTCATTGCAGGTGCCACATCACCAGCCTTGTCAGATAGCTTGGAGGGATCCCCGGACAACCCCTGGAATAGAATGCCCTCGTTGTCTTTGACCCCGAGCTCTTCCGATGGTGAGTCCTCATGTCCCAGGGCATCCAGCTTGCCTTCCTGGCAGGAGACAGCTCCTCTCTTCTCAATGGGTGTAGCTCACCCTGGATGCTGGCTTGATTTACCCTGGCCATAAAGCAGTGCTGTGATGTTCCCATAGCCCTGGACCTGCATCATTCCAGGCCTGACACTCTTCCTGTGTGCCAGGGCAGGTCCCACCACCAGCCCCCTGCTCAAACTGATGATGCTTTTCCTCTTACTAGAGAAGAGCTTTCAACCTGACCCTCCCCTGAAGACCCAGAAAGATGTGGCTGCTGACAGCAACACCACCGACCTGTTGGAATTGTGTAGCCAGGGCTCTCCTGAGGGCTTGCCCCAGGGAGAGCCAGTACAGACCTCATCTCCCTCCCTGCTCCGCTCCCACAGCACTCCCAGTCCGGTGGAGATCAGCACCACTGAGGTGGCATCAGCTGCAGAGGCAGCCTGGGATACCCTGTGTTCTGATCGTGGCCCGCAGGGATCCAGGGACTCTCAGGCCACCCTGCCCACTCTTTCTCCAGTTTTTCCAGCCTTGCCAGGCAGCAGTGTACAGTTCCTGCCCGGCAGGATTCCTCACAGGGAGCAGGCCTGCTCCAGTGGCACAACTTCCTCTCCAGATGTGTTGAGGCCTGGACTGGCTCATGTAAGGACACAGGGAAGAGAGACTGTGGGTGCCAAGAGGAAGCTGGTGGAGGAAGATGAGCAGGGCCCCAGTGGGCAGCAGCTTACCCCGGGCACCTCAAAGGACAGGGGGAGAGGCACAGACAAGAGATCGGAGCTCATGAGCCCACAGGGTGCAAAGAAGAGCAGAACGCAGACAGGGCTGCAGCGTGGAAAAGAGCTTGAGGAGGAGGATAAAGAGGAGGAGGAGGAGGAAGAGCAAGCATCCCCTGCAAGAGCTGGGCCCAGCTCCAGGCCGGAGCAGTGCAGAGCTCCAGAGCCGGTAAATATGAAGCAGCTGGTGAGGTTCCCTGTGGGCTGGGGGTGCCTGGGGAGGCTCTCTGTGCCCACACCTCTGGTGTCCATCCCCAGGATCTTTCCTCACCAGGCTGGTGGGGATGGGAAGTTGAATGCAGGTGTCAGTGTAGATGGTGGAGGATCTGGGAATACTGAGGGAATCATGAGAGAATCATGTAATCACTTAGGCTGGAAAAGAGTTCATGAGATGGAAGTCCAACCATTCCTCAGTACTGCCAAGTCCACCACTGCCACATCCACAGGCCTTTAACTCCATCCAGAGATGGTGAAGACTGTGGTTTAGCCTGAGCTAAACAATTGTGTGGGAACAATTGCTGGAGCGTCTTCCAAGCTATCTGGGTAAAAGGTCAAAAGAACAGAGGGAGAGACACCTCAATTCTAGGTGTTTTCCTGGGGTTATTGGGCTCTCAGGCTGCATAGAGCAGCACTCTGGGTGCTGTGGCTGGAGCAGACCCATCTCGCCCTCCCCTTTGCTTTTGTAGTTCATGGAGAGACCGCCCCAGTACCAATACGAGGCACCGAGCCCTGAGCTCTGCCAGCAGGTACAATCTATCAGGTCAGTACCATATCAGCCATGGACTCGTGGCTGTCCCTTGTTCCTGCAGTGGGACTCACATCACTGTAGTGAGTCCCCAGTCTCTACCTTACCCCTTGTCACCAGCTGCCCTAGTGGTGTGTCCACAGCTGGATTTCTTCTCACCCTGGCTCCTCCTGTCTGGTTTCTCAGGATCTCAAAGGCAATGCTGAAGTGGGCATGCTGGATACTGACTGAGGAGGATGATTCCTGAGCCCAACCCATCTTTCGTTCCTTTGTTTCTTCAATGGGTCTGTCAAAACACTGGGAAGAGTGGTTGGGGGAGGGATGTGGGGACATCAAAAGCTCTGTGCCCCAGGGGACTGCTGAGTGGGCTGGCCTAGCTGCAGAAACCTTGGCACATGACCTGTTGAAACCCAATACCCTCAGTGACAGGAGGGGAGAAAAGCATTCACTCAGGAATGCGTATATGTGAGCCAGCATCCCTCTCCCACCTCTTCATCCTTTCCAAATGCCTTGTCCCAGCAAGTGGGGACAAGAGGTGACACAGTGCCACCATAGAAGTGATGGCAGAGGCGCCACAACCTGATCCTGCTCCAAAGGTACCCCAGGAGCATGGATGGTTTATTGAATAAGTTTAGGTTGGGTCCTGCACTGTTTATTACAAAAAATATCCTGCAGGGTTATGCTGTAGAAATTAAAAATTGTATATTTTTTAAATACACAGCTCTTGTATTAAAAAAAAAAAACCAAACAAAAAAAAAAACAAAACAAGCATCTTGCTTTGTCGTAAACATCTGTGTAAGGAATGCGTTTGGTCCAGAGCAGAGGGCAACACAGGAGAAAGCCACTGGGGTGTCAGGATCACGCTGGTGCCGTCAGGGAGCTGCGGGGATGGAGCTGCGTGCTGAAAGGCGGTGGGTCGTGGTCCCACTGATGGAAGCCTGTGTCTGGCGGGGGCTGGAGAGAGCGGTACCCCATGGGGTCAGGAGCTGGAGTGGTGAAAGTGCCTTGGGAACGCTTCCTAAAAATAGCTGGCTGCGAAAATCACCGGCTCCCCCGCTGCAGCCCACAGCAACACAGGGCACTGGGGACTGCAGCACCACTGGATGCAACCTGCAGGCTCTGACAGTCCCTGGGCATCCTGGGTGGTGCTGGTGGCCTGGCTGTCCCCATGTTGAAAATTGGGCAATGCCATCATTGGCACATCCATGCCAGCCTGGTGCCCCGTCTATCCTCTCTCCATCTCTCTGCCAAGCACCCCGGCACGGCGCACTTGCTTGCAGGGTTTTACTGGGAACAGCGTGGTGACATGCAGGGGCTTCACTGTCCCAGGGCCGGCTCCTCCTGGCCCGGCACTGGGCATCTTTGGTCTACGGCAGCTGAGTCTTGTGCATTCCCAACAGTTTGTGCCAGGGCTTGTGGCTGCTCACCCTCAGTGCCTGTGCCAGCCTGCGGCTCCTCCAGCCCGGCGCTGGGCCAGTCCTGCAGCGTGGCACCTGTACAGGTCACAGGTGCTGGTGTAAGCATGAGGGCACCCTTGGTACCCCAAAACATGCTTTAGCAGGGAGGGGAACATCTCACCTTCAGCATCCGAGGTTGGTCCAGGCTCACCCTCCATCTCTGAGAGGGACTCGTGCTTGGTCCTGTGCCTGAGCACAGGCGAACGCCGCAGGCGCAGTGGAACGGTGCCCACTGGGGGAAACAACCCAGCCCCATGTTAGGGTGGGGCACAGTGGCCTGGCTCCTGCTGGAACTGATCCCTGTGCCACATTCCCCTTGGGAACTTCCAGTGTGCCAGTGCCATTGTCTATCACCCACCAGCTGGGAGAGGCAGCCCCAGCACACAGATGGAACACCACCACCCACTTCTGTTGGTGTTAGGTGCAAGGAGGGCTTGGGGTCCCATTTCAGACCCAACTTACTTCCCAGCTCTGCCGGGCACTCGGGCTCCCTGAGCTGCTCCTCATGGACGGACAATGCTCGGCGGCTGGTCCCCCGTGGCGCTGCCAGCCGTGCCATCAGCCGGTTGTCTGTATAAGCAGTGGGGAGGTGCAGTTGGAGGATAGCCCACAGCACCCCACTTGACAGGCCCCATCAGCACCCAGCACCCACCGTGTGCTTGGCTCCCTGTTGCCCTCCATTCCCAAGGGCTCCAAGAACCGGCCAGCAGTGGAATGAGGCATCCATGGGCACCTCATGCATCCCTACCTTCAGTATTGGGTGGTGTGGGCAGGGTGGGCAGGGTGCCAGCACCCACCTCCCCACCATGGCTGACCCTCCGTGGCAGCGCCGCCGGCACGTTCCTGCCCAGCCGTGGCAGGCTGCTGCTCCAGCCCTCCCGGCCCCCGGGCTCTGGCAGCCCACTGGGCTCTGCTAGGGTGAAGGAGCGCTGGGGCTGGTCAGAGCTGGTGGCCGGTGGCTCAGCGGGCAGCTGCCTTCCCAGGGCTTTCCAGGCTGGCCGGGGCTCGGCGCCGGGCTCCGTCCTGGCGGCTGGGCTGCGGAAGGGTGCGTCTGTGGGGCAGGCAGGATGGAGCTGTGGGCGTCCAGAAGTGACAGCCCCAGGGATGGTTCTTGGTGCTGGGAACCAGCCTGCAGGCAGCCCAGGGACTGGGCAATGGGCTGGGTGTCCATGTGCCATCTCCAGGGATGGGCACCCGTGGGTGTAGGGCACCCTCCCAAGGGTGGAATTCTGCCCATATGCCTGTGCCCACCAGTCCCTGTTGGCTCCAGTCCCCATGCCTGGTTCTAGGAGAGGGGATAAAGCCCTCTGCCCCAGGGGCTGGTGTGACCCCCAGAATGCACTGCTGACCCACCTGTGGACACAGAATGCGTGCGGGCCTTCAGGGATGGGGGAGAGTCTGCAGAGCTGTCCACGATATCCCCTGCAAGCACAAGCCACCAGCCAGCATCAGTGAGCTGGGGTCTGCCCAGCACCACCAGCACTTAGCAAGAGGAAAATGTAGTGGGATCCACAGCTGGGAGTCCAAGGGGACTGCCCATGGCCACCCGTGGGTGCCCAGCTGGGTGGGGGTCAGGGTGGGGAGGGCACAGCCCCTCACCATCTGAACCGGCTTTCTTGATCTCGCTGTCTTTGCTCTGCAAGGGGGAAAAAACAGGTAAGGGGGCTGTCAGGGAGGCAGTGCCCACATAGACAATGGGTACAGAGTCCTGTTGCCAGGCTCTGATGTGGCTGCAGCGGATGGGTGCATGCCAGGAAAGGAGGGACAGACTGACAGACACCATGCAGTATATAGGAATTGACCCCTTGCAGTGTGTTAGGTGACAGGGCAGAGGCTATAGGCAGCACAGAGCTGGGTGCTGCCAATCCTGGTGGGGAGATGTCCCCCACTCTATGGACCACCATCTCCTACCCCCCTGGAGGGGCAGGGCCCACCCCAAAAATGGAACCGGTCCCCACCTGCTGCTTCTTGCTCTCAGCAGCCGGGCCCTTGGTGACGCCGATGCGATGGAGCATGACCTGCATGCGCTGCTCAAAGGAGCTGGACAACTCCCCCTCACTCTTCTCCAGTTGCCTCTTCTGCAGGAGAGACACAACCCTGCCAGGAACGTGGATCCACCACAGTACCTATGGCACCCACACTCCTGCCTGTGGGGCACCCACATTCCTAACTCCAGGCATGCTGCCTGATGGTGACACAGACAAGACCCAGGGGGGATGTCCCCAGCCATCACTCCAGTGATCCCCTGGTAACCCCACCAGCATCCATGGGTGGGAGCAGCACCCACCAGGTGAGATGAACAGTGGTGGTGGTTGGTAACTGTGACAGTGCTTACCTTGTCGTGCCTGACCCCCAGCGCATCCTCATCCTCCCCAGACAGCAAGATGAGTGACTGGGATTTGCCCTCCCGAGAGTACTTGGGCCGGATCCTCCGGGCAGAGTCAGGGGTCTGGCAGTGTTCAGGCTCTGCGTGGGGCTCGGCAGAGAGCCCCCCCTCCTCCGATTTACTCAGGGGCTTCCCTGACTCGCCTGCCTTGCTGGGGGCTCGTAAAATGTCACTGAGCATCAAACGCCTGCTCCTAGGGGCGGTGGGACCACCCTCAGGCTCCTTCTCACACCTTGAGCCCCGGCTGGATTTGGGTTTCTTGAAGGCAAAAAAATTCCCAATTTTCTTCTTGAGGGTGCGGGAACCAGAGGGAGCCAGAGGGGCTGATCCCAGGCAGGTCTCCGGAGTCGTGGGGCTGGGGAGAGATGAAGCATTGCAAAAGGTGAGCTCTAGGCTGCCAAGAAGTAAGGGGTCAGTTTTTTCCTCTGCCCACCCTAAAGGGATGGATCCAGACCCTGGACACATGACCTGTGATGGTAGTGTCCTGACAAGGGCACCCATTCCCAGCATGGTTCCCATGGGTGCTCCCTCATTGCCTCCCCGCTGTGGAACAGACTCCACAGACACATCCTGTGCATCGTGGCTGCCATCCCATTCCTCTTCCCCCAGCCTTGCTCTTGGTGACATCCCTGGGTGTGCTGTTTTCCCCTGCATCCCTTTTGCACTGGGACCAGCAGTGTTTGCAGGGAGGCTGCTGAAACCCTGGGGATGGGTGTGTGCTGGGCAGGTGAGGGGCCCTGAGCACCCCCCAGGCTTACGGCAGTGTTTCTGTGATGACCTTCTTGGCAAAGAAGTCCTCCAGCCCCTCGTCCACGCGGGTGATGCTCCTGTCCTCGCTGTTCTCACAGGCCACGGGCTGCACCTGTGGGTGACAGCTGCTGTCAGCCCAGCACAGGGCAAAGGTGCCCCCAGGCATGAAGGTGTGTCACCCTCCCCTGGGCCTGATCAAGCAGGTGCCCCTGCAGGATGGGTGCTGGCACGCTCCATCTCGTACCCAGCATTAAAGCCAAACCATGGTGTTATCAGCTGTGTCCGAGCTCTAATCCTGCTCCCTCCCTTCAGCACTGGGAGCTCCAGGCAGCCCCAGGCTCCTTCCAACCCCTTGCCTAGTAGAGTGGCTGAAGTATGGCACTTGTACTGTGGGAGAGGCTTTTGGCAAGGATGCTTCCTCCATCTGAGCTCCAAGAAAGGGACCCCTGCATTGCTGGAGGGTGATGGAGCAGGTGACCTGCCAGGACCCATATTTGCATCCTTCAGATGTTTCAAGTCCAACCTTGGAGTGCCACCACAGCCTGCATGAGAGCCACCTGCTCCATCCCCATAACAGTGGTCCACACCATGGCCAAGCTTTCCTCCATGGCACCTTCCTCTCCCTGGCATGTGGCACTGCATCAGTGGCTTCCCATCGATGAGAGGGAGGCGCTTCCCCATCGGTGGCATTTCAATCCATAATGACTTTTCATTACGGCTGGATTGATGCCGTTCAGGAGCCGTTCCAGCCATCTGAGATCTGCTCTCCCTGTCACATCATATCCATCAAAGCCCGTCCTTGCTCAAGCCTTGGCCCACCCTGGGTGCCAGGCGTGCCTGTCCCACTGCAGGGTGATGGCCCTGCCAACCTCCAGCACCCACCCTGCCTGTGGGACACAGCTGCTGCCTCCCCTCTGGCCCCGTGCCAGCCCTGATCCCACCATGATCCAAGGGCAAGCATCACCACAGCCGTGCAAGCCAGGGCTTTCCAGCAAGTGAAAGGATCCAGCTGCATCACGGTGGCATGGGGATGAGGTGATGCCAGCAGGATCCAGCCCCAGGGACAGTGACGGAGCTGGACTCGCCACTGACTGCACCCAAAAGTTACTTTTCCTTGGGGAAGGGGGGTGCAAAGACAGGATCGCCTGTTGGATGGGGGGAGCACAACCCACCTC